AGTTGTTTTATAGTAGAAGCAATATGAGTAGTTCTCTGTCACAGCATCCAACACGTGTCTTTCTTCCAGGCTAGGGAAATGCTGCTTTCAAAAGATCTATACAGTGCTGATCTGTAACAATAACGGTTTCAAAACCAGACCCCCAGATTTCTGAAAGACAAATGCTAATTTTACAGTGCATGAAATCCAAAAAAACCTAATTGGTTTAAAATCTTCTTCGCCTCTATTCTGTATCAATGCGCGTTTCACAGAAACTGAGAATAAGCGGATTTCATCCATCCCAAAGGTAACTGACAGCCAGCTGTCACTTTCTTCAGTTTTCCGAAAAATCCATAATGCATATATTTTTCTAAAACTGGAAGTGCAAAGGTCATGAAAACGTAAAATGCTGTAAAGACATTTGCGAAGCACTAATCTAATCGTTCCCCAGACAGACCCATAAAATTACAATTTCATGATAATTCATTAACAGCTTGCTTTTTTATGTGTTAATGACGCTAACAAAATTTCCAACTGTTCTGCAATTGCAACAGCAATTAGAGCACACGTGGTTAAGCTTTTTTGCGGAAAATAATTTCGAAAAACAAATCTACCTCAAACTTCTTAACCATCTTCTTCAACTATGTAGGAGTCATTGGTCCCTTAGCCCATCTCACATTCTTGAAAGCATCGCAAAGTTGTAGTTGCATTTTTTTCATAACGTTTTCCAATGATGCTTTATCAGATAGTGATAGCATATCTACAATAGTCCTTGACATTCCTTTTACGATTCAAAACACAATGGTAATTTTTATATAACTTCTTCTGGCTTTCATGCAAATTGCGTTTACGATAACTCAAAAATTCACTAAAATATAATTTTTTTTAGTTTACTTTTGATATTTTTAAAATTTATAATTAGCCCAGAAGGGCTATTAATTTCGTTTTGGCATTTTGCGTTGTTTCATTATAAACGTCGATTTACTTTTCAAATTGTTGCCACCAAATATTAGAACCTTGTATTATATTTAAAAAATTAAATAATGAAGAATGTGCATAAATATATGTATGTTCCTCGCATTGTGATAAAACAACGATACCCGGAGCCATCAAAATTTGAATAACGTACGTTTTCACCCGAATATGGGAATCTGGAAGTCCAAACTTGGAATTTGTTTTATTATCTATTTCATATTTTGTAAAATTTTAATGAATCGTTGCTTAACAAACTCAACGATTTCAAAGCGAGCAATGGCAACACTGTACGGAAAAAAAATTATCTCTAGAGTGATATCCAGAGACTGCGTATCGGAAATTCTAAAGGAATATGCTCATCTTAAAATGATTTTGTGATATTGCTGTACAACTGAGTTTTGTGGTTTTATTGAGATGAACATGATATTTAATAAATAAAAGTAACACACAAAACGTTAAAAAACGTAATGTAAAATCTGAAAGTTTTCAGATTGAGTAACTGAACGAAAAAATTAAAATTCCTAAGATAATAATCTGTTTGATTATTAATATTTCTAGTTTCAAATTTAAAAGTTTCTAATTTAATGATTTTTGCATTCTTTTCCATCAATTTAATATGATAAAATAGAGAAAAATGTTTCCGAAACTTTAAAACTGAACGCTACTTTTCTTTTTATTTATCATCTATTGCGTATTTATTTATTTATTTTATCCTTCACTATACTCTAAACAACTTCTTTCACTTTTGTGAACTTTTACCTTTTAGTCAAACTATCGAATCGGTTTTTCTAAGTCTAACTACTTATTTATTTTTATCCAACTACTTACGCAACACTTCAGTTATGCTTAACTTCTGAAATTATTTCGGTTATCATTTTCAGCATGATAAGATATACATAGTGAAAAATAATAACATACTAGATTTCTTAAAAAGGAAAACTTCTAAGTTAAAATGTATACTTCTAAAAGTATTCAAAGTTTAATATAAATAGGGTTCTTTGAAAAAGACATTTCTAACATATACATATCCCTATTCAACGAAGATTTTGAAACTAAAGACCCTGTCTTTACAACAAAATGCTAAAGTTTCAATTTCCCATTTAAAATGTCTGGAATGCAAAGAAGGAGGATAAGTATCACAGTTCCTAAAACACTTCACCGGAAAAGTGATTGCTACATGAAAAGTATCTCAAGTTTATATCCAATCCTAGATCCATCACATCACACAGAGAAGAAATCCTTGTTAATATATCTCCAAAGATTCAGATTTGGAATAGGAAACGATATAGTGTTAATGGAGGTCTTCCACAAGACACGGTCTCTGTAATGAATGGGAAGGAATTTTCATGAGGTTTTAGAAGGGATGCAGCCCAAAAGGCAATTTTCCCATCCCAGTTAAAACCGATGCCGTGTCGTCCAATTAAGACCCGACACACTTTAGCAGTTTTATCCTGCTTTGGAATAGGAAACATTTTCCACTGAAGCAACTTTATGGCTTTTCCGGAGGAGATGTCGAGGCATTTTAAGGAGATGGGTTGCCATCAAAACGAAAAGTTTCTAATAAATATCAAAGAACTGAACTGTGACGATGATGATGTACAATGTTCTTCAACAAGGATTCGTAGTTTTATATTTCGGAAGTAAAGTCCCCTCATGAATATCTCTAGCAGCTACCTACCAATTTTTGATGATTTAATCAGAAGCACGTCGCGTATATTAATACGCAAAATAGCCAATATTAATTATCACTTGATGTGTCCATTATTAGTACATTCAAAATTAACAATGTGTCCTCGACATACATAAATCATTTTTTTAGACTGTGGCTTTTAAAGTGAAAAACGACAATGAAACAGAGGTTACAGCCTTCAAATCAATTTAAAATAAATCCTGTAGTGTAATTTCAATCCAATTTAATTTAATTTAATCTTCAAAGCTTCAGTTTCAGCTGTAAATTTCGTCACAAAATCGCCAGAGTGACATAGGTGAGAAACTACTTTTTATAAAGTTTATAAGGTATTTTCTCCCTCCTTTCCACATGCCTTCGTGGTGTAACGAAAAGTACGCTCGACGCGTATACGGGAAGGTCAGGAGTTCCAATCCCGGCGAGGGTGTTTCTTGATTTCGAAAATTTTCTAAATCACTCTACAGTTACGCCCGAACTAAAAGATGGTGGATGATAATTCGTCACCACCAGGATTTGGCGACTAGATCCCCTAATCATCAATCTCTATTTAAAATGGGGAAGTACATAAGACATTTTCTACCTCTTCTGCGCATGCCTTCGCAGTGTAACTGGAAGCACATTCGTAATGTATTCGGGAGATCCGGACTTCGAATCCTGGAGAGGGTATTGCACATTTGTCACGTTCCTGCATCGGTATTTTTTTATTAAATTTATTTTTATTTATTATTATGACAATAAAAGAGGACGCAGAAAAAATCAGATTTGTATTCTACAAAAAATGGGTTACGTATTCTCTTTCAAAAGTCAATCCAGACAAACATCAAATTCAAAACGCATTTATATCTAAAGGTGCCAGGAAGATAAAATATTCTCTCGACTTACGGCGACTTACGGGAAAATAGGACACTTACGGCGAGTTAAAGAATGAATAGGAATAACATTCAATGGATGCAAATCCTCGCACAGATTCGAAAACAAATCTGTTACACGAGCCAAAAAATGAGATTTTACTTCCTTACGTAAAGCATTTTACAGATGTACAGGCCATGACTCCCATTTATAGATGATAAATGACTTTCTATTATAGATCCGATCAAAGAGGTTATGACTTTCGTTTATAGATCCAATCAAGGAGACGTAGTTGATGAATTTCTCGAAACAAATCAAAGCTTGGCATTGAACAGTCTGTAGACTTAAAACTTCTGATGGACCCCCGGAAGAGCTACGTCATGAGAAAAATCTTAATGCCTTGAAAATCGTATTGGTGAAAGAGTAGGAATTGCTCCTAAACTGCCTTGCAGAGAGCGTGAAACAGCACTGTGTACGAATTTGAGAAGATCATTCTTCTCAATAAGGACAAATGTTTGCTTTTATGTCTGTCGTTTTCCTATATAGTTGACACATATAATTTCAACTTCATTGGCTTCATAACATAGTTCTCTAGTGTAAACATTCAGACTGCATTTTTCAGTTTGTAATTATAAGCATATCTTATAATATCATGTATTACCGAGAATAAATTTGCTTCATTTTATTTTTAAAAAAAAAATTGTAAGCAGTTTTTATGAAAGTCGAGATAATATTAACACCAGAACGAATCTATTCATTTCTCAGTGTACATAAGCCATGTGAAGCGAAATATTTTATTTATCATTTTGGATTGTAGTAAGCTAAATTTGTTTTTTTTTTCACTTTATTCAACGGAGATGCAATAAATTAACTTTTAAAATGGTAGAAAATTATTTATTTTTTGATTTAATTTATTTATTTTAATGAATTAATACTATTTATGTTTGTCACTTGTTACCAATAATTTATTTATTTAGTTTTCATTTTTAATTAATTAATTTTTTAACTAATTTCATACAGTGGTAGCTAAACTATTTAAAACCTACGTAATAATTCGAAAAATAACAATTTCCATATGATATTTACCTCAATTTCAATTAATACATTTGAATTCAAAAACTTTTTGCCTTTTGATAGCTATCATTCTATACTGCGTTATTTATCGTCCAGGTCAAAATGCTTGGCGAAGATTATGCGTCACAGAGAAACTAGATTACATCATTTCTTCTTTAGCTCCTTAGAACATGTACACATATATATTACAAAACGAAAAAAAAAAAAAAAAAAAAAAAAAACTAATAAGGATAAAATAGGAAAAAATAAAAATTCAAACGAATTACGACTACTTCACGGGGGTTCTCAAAGTATGTATAAACATCATCTCTCTCTCATTCGATTTTCCTCGAAGGGAAAGAGAGAAGGTGGAAAGTGATCCCAGCGGCAGTCCAATCGACATCATAGAGGATAGTGGAGAGAGCATTAAAATGTATGATAAAGGCAAGAATCTTACTTCTATTGGAGTAAGGGTGTTGGTGTCCGGGTTGAGATTCGGGTTGAGGTGGTTTGGCAGCCGCGTTGGATGATGATTGATTAAGACATCGTCGTAGGTGATGCCCGCAGTGCCCCCCATGTCGCACCTGCCTTGGTGGTGAGTCTTGCACGGCAAGAAATTCTGGACCTTCCGCTTGTGCCTGCAAAGAAAAGAAATAAAAATATAAGTAAAATAAATTAAATGAACACAGGAATAACATCTCAATCGAATAACTCAAAACAGGGTTGTTTCTTAAGGTCACGGTGCAGTTTATTTTGCGTTATGTTCATTACTTCGTGCTGTTTTGGTCGTTTGGAAATGAATTCGATTATAAGAAGAGATGAATAGCTTCATTATGTGAAGAGATGCGCAAAGAAGAGTCTAACCTAACTATAGTTTAGATGTGATTCCGCAATATCCTTGAGTAATAATTGTTTAGATCTGACTCTACAAGAGCTTGGAGACGCTTGTAGAGAAAGATTTCAGCCAAAATGGTTCATTGATAATCATATGCCTTAAAAAATAGTAAGCTTAGAAGCGGTATTATAAGTCTTAAACACTTGAAAAGAAGAACTTTTAGAAGTCTCAAACACTTGCAATAAATTTTAATATTTGTCTTCAATATTTCGCTCCTAGAACCAGTTCAATACTTGAAGACTAGAATACTTAAAATTTGATTCACTTGGGGAATGGCAATAAAAACTATCACAGCACTTATACTCCGAAAGCAAGCACAAATGCATAATTTAAAGAGAGAGCTTTGGCAACACACCGGAAAGCAGTTTCTTTTCATGTCCTATCAAACTCGTCGACCTAGCTTTCGTGACTGATTTGCTAGCATTTAGGCCTAGAGATTGCAAGTAGTTGCAGCCAGCTAAATTCAGACGTCAGATCTATTTGTTGTGTTGCATATATTTACACAGTTGTGTTTCTAAGACTCCGCAACTAGCAGTACACAGGTTTTGTTAAGTTTTAATTATACCTAGTATTCATACATTTTTGTTTAAAGTTTAATATCTTTTTTTGTGTTCCTGGAATTTAGAATTTTAGGTAAGTGCGAAAACTACAATTCTTTCGCCGTACAAAAATGTTAAACAAAATTTAGTTTACGAGTTTTTAATTAAGTTACACCTTACAGCAATGTCATTCAATTCTTTAAAACTGAACTGTCTTTCATTTGATTTTTTTATCTAATTAAAAGAAAAAAATTACTCATATATCAATATATTTAGAGAAGAAGTCAATTTTTTATACGCATGTATCATTTGGCAGTTGTTAAACAATGTAGATTTAATCGTGGGCCAAAGGTTATGAATCGAAAATAAAAATTAGCTGCCTAATTCTAGCAAACGCGTCATCGTTCTGTGACACTGAATCGATGCCATCCTTTGCGAGCCAATACCATAACCATTCTTCAAGCATACGAACTAAAAGTTTCCTTCAGTATTGCTGTGTACACAGTTTCGTTACTTAGAATTCGTGCTTATCAAATAATCTTTGTGTAAGTACCAGACAGAATGAATGGGGTAAAAACCGCCTTAGGGAAAGAATATGTGGGGAGGGACGGTGGATTCGTCTGTCGGAGGAAGCATTCAGTGACTAAATTTTCGCCTTTTAATGAAGTTATTTTCGACAACAGAAAATAAAATGACGCATAGAGCGAGCTCAGCTTCATCTTCGAATTGTTTCGCAATAACAACTTAAATTACATCTGTAGTGTTTACTAATTCAATTTCAAAGGAAATCTTTGATGTCACGTTACAAGAAGAATTCGATTGGTCGAACAAAAGCCTTCCTAATACAATAAACACAAAAACGACATCAGCAGGTTAAAGTTTTCTTTGACAGATAATCAAAAAAATCTTTTGAAGGAAGATAAATTGGAACTCGTCCTTTTGCTTCAATGAGAATGTAGGAGGGGATGCAATTTTACACCATTAAAGTTACAAAATTAGTTTCTTTAAATGATATGTGACCAGTGTCTTGCATTTCACATCAAAAAATGTACTAAATGGGAACATCAAACACTTGAATCAAACAAATATTAACATATTAGCTATTTTAAGTGTCCCGGAATGGTTTATAACTATGATATGTTATCACTGACATCCCATGTTTTTCGGTGTTTATAAAAACAATAATGTTTTCTATAAACAAATGGCTTGTGAAAAGAAATAGTTTTAATTGAATTTAATAAGCTAGATGGGCCTCACCTTTAAATCAAATCAAACCCAACAAATCAAATCAAACCTATGAAAACTTCCATACACACAGACCGTTTATCAGAATTCGAATCCGGGTCGAACTACCAGTATTCAGCGATTTTACCGCCAAGTCGCTGATCGGTAATAATTGAATCTGATTTTGATCATCGTGCGAGGGAAAAAATAATTAAAATTCGGGGGAGTTTTACCTTATTTTTTTAATCTTTATACACGGGACAAATATGTGAATTTTTATAGTATACTGTAGCATTAGCATAGTTATTAATGTTATTAAAACAGTTGTTACAACGCCAACGTATTTATTATTTATAAGTTCCTGTTCAGCCAAGTCTGGATTTAATTGAATCTCGTGTTTTTGTCGGGCCGGAGCCAAAGTAATCATATAAGCAAATTGAATAAATATCAAATAACCCACCACAGAGCACTTAAGAAACATGGAAGATCTTCCTAAGCATATTGATAGTAGCCGTAAAAAGCATATAGATTTCACAAGATTAATTGAGCATGAATAAAAACAAGGACAAGAAGATGTGAGAAGGTGGCTATATATGCGCAAGTATGTTTGCCTATTATATAGATATATATACATATATGTCTCTTTTACTTCCATATCCACTTACGTCCTTGTTTGCCCACTTTTCCTCCCCCTCCCCCCACCTAACATCCGAACTCTGTTGTTTTTAATATCCGTCTCCCCGACAAAGATGCAATTTCCGGACTGCTGGGAATTGAGAGGAGGGGGGGTGGAGGAAGAAGGAAAGAGAGGAAGAAGGAAAATCAATTATCTGCCTTCTGAAGAAAAATGTCGACATTTGGTGCTTTTATGATTCGTCCAAAGTTTCAATATTTGATTTACATGGAGTTATTAAGTATGAAACTCTTAAGTCTCTTAAGTATGAAACAGAACGATGAAATATTAGTTCCGTTATTTTTATAGTTTCTTCTTATTGCTGATTTTTCAGTAATCGAGTTAAGAGGGTAATATTATTATTTCGCCTCACTTTGGAGTCTGAGAACGTTTTTCAGTAATTACAACTACGGAACTATGTTTTAAAGTGAAGTATCCTATGAAAACGGACTGTATCCCTCCTTGATTTGAGCTTTTGACGTACCATCTCTATTACATGAAAGAACACATAGTAGGAATTAATTTTTTATACATTTATAATATGAGCTTAACTCACTGAATTCAGATGCAGTTCTAATTTTCATTTTTCTCTCTATTTCATTATTATTTTCCTACAAGAGAGCAAAACAACAATGCCGCCCAACCGGTATTGTGGTTAGCGTCACTGACTGCCGTGCCCAAGGCCCAGGTTCGAATCCCGGAGAAGGCATGGATGTTTGTAAATGTATAGCGTCCGTGCGGCATGGGGGCACTCTAAATATGCGACGAGCCGAAAGTTCTCTCGAGAGGTTGTTGGTAGGGGAAGAGGGGTGAGAGACTCTCGGACCCATCACCCGGGGTGCTCTCCATCAACTCCATCAACTTGGTCTCACTACAGGTCAGACAACTGAGCATTAGTCAACAACAATAACAAGAGCACAATTAACTATAAGGAATTATCGCATCCTTCTTTGCGCCTCTCGTGGTGTAAGTGCTAACATGTACAATAACATCTGGTGGTTCGAATCTCAACGAAAACAAATTTGATTTTCTTGCGATTCTACTTCCAAAAAACCTAATGCATCAATATACTATTATGAAGGCGGTTTATTCCCATTTGGATCCTTACCGCCTTTCCTACACATTGCATTTATACCTATCCTCTTCTTAACAAACACAATTTAACTACAAGGATGTTTTTAAGCGATACCAAGTACTTTAAATTCGAATTTTAAATTTATTTAATTTTTTTCCTCTGGGATCAAGAGATAAGAAAAATTTAAGCGATAACTAAAAACTCTGCAGTGAACCCTCACGTGGAGACCACTCGCAAGGGCGACTGACACCCCCCCCCTCTCAAAGTAAGCAGCAATTTTGAGAATGTCAGTATTGAGCATTCAATCACAAAACGACCCCTTCCACAGAAAATCGAAATTATCTGCACCCGTGGGTGGCCATTTGGGAGAGGATTCACAGTTTCTGCAATAAATAACAAACGATGATATATATCTTTTTTCTATTAGTGTAGAGTCATTAGGATTTTTTGGAAGCAGGAGATGTGAAAAATGAACAATGCCCTCGCCTGTAATCCAACCACGGAACTCTCGAATTCGCGTCGAGCGTGCTGACCACTACACCACGAAGGCGGGAGAAATACCTTATAAGATTATTTTAAAAATCGTTTCTTCTCATGTAGGAACAAAATAAATAGGTAACAAAAAGCAAAAATCTGAAAAAATAATTAATACAAATATTTTTTTTTTTTTTAATTTTTTATTTATTTTTTTTTTTATTATAAATGTTCCCAACTATAAATATTTGCAGGTAAATGGTTAGTAAAAATAATGAAACCTGGTTAAATAATTTTAAAAAATTCTAACAGGGTTGAACAAATGCAATTAAATTTGTAGTTGAAAAACACAGATCATTACTTGGGACATCTATTTTTGATTAACGAATTATTTATTACTATGACCGAAATTCCCCCGGGAGGAAAACAAAATGCAAAATTCACTGGGCAATCCAGAGGTAAGCAATAAAAATTCTCGAAACTTTTTTAATTGAGATTTAAATTAATGATTTCTTGGAGATTTACATTAATATTCAATAAAGGTTGTCTGGGAAGGAAACAATCGATAGCAGTTATGTAAACTAATCAAATGTTGGAAACATCTTCCAGTACAACAGTTATTTTAATTCAAGATTACTATTTAACTAGAAGATGTTTTTATATACTTATATCATACAGAAAGATAGAAAATCTTTCTGTATGATATAAGTGTATTCATTAAAGAGCAACTTAAAAAAAGGGGGGATTCGTTTGGTGTG